TCTTCCAGTGCGTCGGGAGCGAGGGACGCTCCGCGCCACAGGTGACAGCGTCTTTTTTTTTTTTTTTGGTATTTTTGAGACACAGTCTCGCTATGCAGCTCAGGCTGGCCTTGAGCTCCCTTCGTAGCCCAGGCTGGTCTCGAACACCCAGCGATCCTCCTGCCTCAGCCTCCCGAGGGCTGGGATTACAGGTGTGTGCCCTCCCATCCCGACGGGGTCTTCTTGACCCCACGGCATCTTGTGTTTGGAGTCCTAGGAGCACTCTGCGGAAGCCTCTGGAGCCGCGTCTGTAGGCAGGGATACTGTTTATTCCTTTTAGCTCCATACCTAGGATTTGAATTGCTAAGCCCAAGGATGAGTGCGGTTGAACTTGCTCAAAAGTGCCGAGCAAGTCCAGCGCTTCTAATCCCAGCTACTCAGGGAGGCCGAGGCAGGAGGATCATTTGAGTCCAGGAGTCGGTGCCCACCCTGGGCACCGCAGTGAGATCCTGTCTCCAAAAAATATATAGACAGGTTGGGAGAGGACTGGGCACCTGTGAGGAGAACAGCAGGACGGGGTTTGGGAGCCGCCAGAAGATCCCCTCCGCTGAACCTGAGCCGTGGGGGCCTTTGCGGCACCGACACGGGGCGGGGCACAGCGGGCTGCATCGTCGCCGTGACTCGCGCTTTGCTGCCGTTGGGAGCAGAGCTCCTCAGCTGAAGGAGCAGTGCTGAGGTTGAGTCACACTCAGGGTCCTGAACTGAAAGAAAAGAAACATTTTTCTGGGAAGCTGAGGCAGGAGGATCTCAAATTTAGTTTAGCCTGCGCTACTTACCCACTTTGGGAGACCCTGTCTCCAGATAAATCATGAAAAGGGCCGGGACAGTTCGGTGTGAAGGCCTGGGTTCAGTCCCCAGCAGCAGAAGCAAAGTGTTGGGCATGGAAGTGTTGGGCGTGATGTCTGCAGGGAGGGGTGAAGGGGACACAGCCGTGTGGGAAGCGCTGCAGCTGCCGCCTGTGGATCTGAGAGTCTGGAGCAAGAGCACTTTTTTTTTGAGACAGGGTCTTCTGTGTAGCTGAGGCTGGCTTTGACCTCACAGCGATCTTCCTGCCTCAGCCTCCTTGAGTGCTGGGATCATGTGTGCGCCACCACACAGGCTCTCTGATTTTATTTCTGATTAAATTAAGCGCCAGAGAGAAGCAGGGGGGCTCCCTCCCGCTGCCTGCTGAATGCTCTTTGCTTAGGGCCCCATCCGTGTTCCTCCTGGAGCTCAGGCTCCTGTCCACCAAAGAACCTTCTTTCCAACCCCAGGAGGCAGCGTTTGCCCCTGGGGGGCGATGTTGCACTGGTTGAGAATGCCCAGCCCAGAGACAACATGTGGCCAGGACAGCAGGGCCTTAGCATTTGGTGCTGCACACTTGTCTGTCATCCAGCACTCAGAGGAGGCTGAGGCAAGAGGATCGCCTTGCGCTCAAGCCTAGCCCAGGCTACACAGTGAGTTCAAGACCAGCCTGACTACAGACCAAGACCCTGTCTCAGAAATACAAACGAACAACAACAAAAAAAAGTCTGGCAGTGAATGTTGCTTTGGGGGTGCAAGCAATAGGGAGCTATAGCAGGTTCTTGAGCAGAGGAGGTGGTGAAAAAGGGGCCAAGAGTTTCTCCTCAGGTGCTACCAGCCGGACACCACGCACCAGCCTCTCTGCCAGCTGCAGCCAATTTCGTGTTGCTTTGTTAACTACAACTTCTGCAGTGGCTAGAGCTGGTTATTTGTGTAACTGTCTCCCACCGGCAGGTGCTCCAGTAGCTCAACCAACGTCAGCTCCCGACCTGTGAGGCGGCTGTTGTTGTCGTCTTGGCTTTACAGATTGGGAGATGGAGGCTCGGTGGCTTGGGAAGTAGCTGTGACTTGTGTGAGGTGGAATCACCAGCCCGGCTGCACCGGGCTTTGAGCCAGCTCGGCCTAGCGGCCTCTGGGAATAATGCAGGAGCCCAGGGCTGCAGCTGGGAACGGGGGCGGCAGGGGGGAGTGCACACCACGACCTGGAAGGTTCCCAGCCACGGTCAACACTCGGGAGGCACTGAAAGGCCAAGGCCAAGCTGTCTGAAAAACCCAAATAAAATAAGTAAAAGTAAAACCGCATCCCTTTTGAGACAAGCATAGCTTCTTTGTGAGCTGCTCAATACCGTGCATAGAAGGGGAGGTAGAGCCCGCCTGTTTACCCCCCGGGGATGGGGACAGGGATGGGGACGGGAACTATAACCAAGAAACATCAAAAGTAAAATGCAGGCTGGGCGTGGTGGCGCAGGCCTGTAATCCTAGCACTCGGGAGGCTGAGGCAGGCCGATCGTTGCGAGTCTGAGACCAGCCTGGGCTACAAAGTGAGCTCAAGGCCAGCCTGAACTGCATAGCGAGACCCAGTCTCAAAAAGACATAAATAAATAAATAAGTAAAATGCATTTGTTTTAGGGATGGAATTGATTCACCTCATTTGTTTACACACGGTATCTTTTGAGACAGAGTCTAATCCTGCAGCCCAGGCTGGCCTGGAACTCACGGAGACCCTCCTACCTCAGCCTCCTGGGTGCTGGGAGAACAGGCATGTGGCACCATGCCTGGCTAAGTTTTCTTAATTCATAAGTAGCTGTGTTATTCTAACCCACTTGGTTTATGACTCACTGGGTCCCTTTATAGGAAAACTGAAGGCATAGTCAACAACCTGCACTTTATAAATAGCTCTGCACAGAGTAGGAATCAGGGGAAGTCCTCAGGAAACAGAAACAAACTGTACTCTGCTGAAGCTGAAAGGACTCGTGACCTGTGCCGTGTGGGCGAGCTCTCCCCAGCACGTGGGGCCTCGTCCTCATCCACGTGGGCGCGGAAGCCGCAGGGTCCCAGGAATCGGGAGCAGACCAGGACGGCTGCCCAGCACAAGACTGCACAGGCCGGGCTGGGGCAGTGTGGTCCGTGACCCGGGGCTCACCGCGGGGCCTGGGGGCTCCAGAATTCTTTTTTTCACTGCTTCCCCTCAGAGGTTCAAAGAGGGACAGTCGCGGTTATTTAATGTGTCAAACGCACGTTGCTCATTGTGGACCGGGTGTCATGGGAAGCGGTCACAGGAGCCAGGAGGAAGGATCCAGGTGTCCTGGCTGGCCGCGGGGTCTGTGACAAGTCCCTTCCGTCACAGATGAGGCTGGGCCCCAGAGGGCCCTGTGTCAGGCCGGCAGAGGTCACCGTGCGCTGGGCACGTGGGCGGCACCAGGGACACTTCCTGTCTGCATGCTTCGTCCTGGCGGGGACAGCGTGATGGGCAGAGGGCGATGCCAC